TTTTACTACATATGTCTGATATTTTGCTGCCTATGGGGTATTGTAGGATTTTTATAGTTTCCCACCTTAGGTTTAAGTCCTTTAGCCATTTTGAGTTTTTTTTTTTTTTTTGTGTGTGTGTGTGTGTGTGTGTGTGTATGGTGTAAGTTGGTGATCTAGTTTTAATTTTTTGCATGTATCTGACCAAATTTCCCAGCACCATTTATTAAAGAGACTATGTTGACTACATTGTATGCTCTTGCCTCTTTGTCAAATATTAATTGAGCATAATGGATTGGGTTGATTTCTGGGTTCTCTGTTCTGTTCCATTGGTCTATATGACTGTTCTTATGCCAGTACCAGGCAGTTTTCAGAACTGTGGCTTTGTAATATAGCTTGATATCTGGTATTGTGATCCCTTCAGCTTTGTTATTCTTCCTCAGGATTTCTGTGGCTATTCAGGATCTTTTTTTTATTCCAGATGAATTTTTGGAGAGTTTGTTCTAGATCTTTGAAATATGCTGTTGGTATTTTAATGGGGATTTCATTGAATCTGTAGATTGCTTCAGGTAGTATGAATATTTTAATGATGTTGAGTCTACTAGTCCATGAACATTGTAGGTTCTCCCATTTGATTATATCTTCCTCTATCTTTTTTTTTCAATGTCCTGTAGTTTTCTGAGTACAGGTCTTTTACCTCCTTAGTTAAATTTGTTCCTAGGTATCTTACTTTTTTTGGTGCAATGGTAAATATGATTTCTTTCCTCTTCCTTTTTCTTTTCTTTTCTTTCCTTTTCTTTTTCTCTATGAGTTCATTATTGGTATATAAAAAGGCTATAGATTTCTGGGTGTTAATTTTGTATCCTGCTACCTTGCCAAATTCATTTATTAAGTCTAGTAGTTTTTTGATGGAGTCTTTGGGGTTTTCTATATACTGTATCGCGTCATCTGCGAATAAGGATAGTTTTACTTCTTTTCCAATTTGGATGCCTTTTAATTTTTCTTTTTGTCTGATCACGATGGTTAGCAATTCCAATACTGTATCAAACAGGAGTGGTGAAAGTGGGCATCCCTGTCTTGTTACTGTTCTTAGGGGAAATGGATTTAGTTTTTGCCCATTGACTC